TGGACACCCTTCTGTGAGGATACTTTTTGCGCCCTAAAAAAGACGGAGACTAGTGCACCGGTTCTTCGCCTACCTGATTTCAATCGTCCCGCCATAATAACCACCGATGCACCATATTTTGTTGTAAGAGTTGTACTTTTTCAGGTGATTCTCACTCCTCCTGATTCCCTTTATCCCCATGCTCCCGGCTCCTCCCCCCCCCCCCCCCCCCCCCCCCCCCCCCCCCCCCTCCCCTCCGTTATTGTAACTGCTTCTCGATTGCACTTATCCTTCCACCACTTCTCTCCACAGACATTCCTTTTCACTTACCCCCTGACCATCGTGGAGGACGAGACTGTCAAGGCTCGTGCTCGGGATTGTCCGATCGCCTTCTACTTCCATCAACTACTGTCTGCCGAGATAAATTACGTTGTTGATGAATATGAGGTTCTCGCAGTAGATTATCCTAAGAGGCATTGGCGTAATTTTCTTCATAGGGCGCATTTCACGGTGCACATCGAAACTCTGTTGTCCAGGCTCCTCACGAAGCTCAAGCTTTCCCCTCGACAGGCACGCTGGTGGCGCGACTTATCTGAGTTGAGTTTCACCACTCAGTCATAAGCGCTTAACAGGGACCCCCACTTTTCAGCCATGGTTAACCCCCTCAACCATGAAAAGTACATTGGAGATCATTTTTTTTATTTTTTTCAGTTTTTTTTGTTTTTTTTGTTTTTTTTGTTTTTTCAGTTTTTTCAGTTTTATCCTATTTTATTTTTGGTCAAGCTCTGATTGTGCCAAGTTTGGTGTTGTTGGGGTCTTAGAGCTCACTGTTTTGGCTAACCCTAAAAAATCATGAAAACTGAAAAGAGTGAATTTTGCATGAAAACGCTTCTACTTTGTTGTTTTATAGGTTTTGAAATATATATATATATATATATATATTTTTTTTTTTGTAAGTAGTTAGTAACTTAGTATGATTGTTATTCTATGAATTGGTGGCAAGTTTGGTTAAAATGGTCCTTGGGTTTTCTTATAAATGGTTTGACAAGTGATCTGAAAATCGAGGCGCCCGTTAACTGTCTCTCCCCATTCACCTTACCGCCATCCCGATCACCATCATAGATCTGTTGGTGGTCGGCGTGTATCACACTCGGTATTGTCATTGTCCGGACTATCGCAACATCCACACGACGTTGTGGCGTGAGAATATTGTTCCTTCATACTCCTTCAGTGAAAATGGTGTCGTGTACTGACATGGTAGATTTGGTGGTCTCAAATCACGTATTCGCGTTTTCTCCACAGGACAGCTCTATGTCCAGGCCATAGCAGAGTTTCATGACCAGACAGATGTCGGTGATATTGGCTTCTATAGGACATTGGATTGTGTTTGTAGTTTATTCGTCTCGCCCCAAAGCAAAGAATTTGTCAAGAGCTATGTCCAGGAGTGTCCCATCTGCCTGGAGGTGAACAATGTGAACCACCTTCCGTATCACCAGCCTCTACTCATACTGAGTCATACATAAAGTTGTTCGCATTCCATCTCTATGAATTTTGTTGGTTCGTTCCTTCCTCCCACCGCGTGAGGTCAAGATGCTATCTTGATTGTCGTCGATCGCTTCACAAAGTTTGCACGTTTTGTCTCGTACGCTATTGCATTATCGCTAGTGAGGTCGTCGACATCGTATTGGATCGAGTCGCGAAAGATCACATGTTACCTCAAATCGCCATCTTCGACCGTCACCCCTCGCTTTACTAGCACATTCTGGCGACGCCTGCACGAGGTGTATGAATCCTTGCTCAGCTTCTTGCCGTGATACCACTCTCAGACGGATGGTCAGCCTAAGGTCACCGACAAAACACTCGTTAAAATCCTCTGAAAGTCTGTTATGGATGACCAACAATGAGACGTACATTTGGCCCATGCGTAGATTGTGTACAACCACGTTGTTTCTCTTGTCGTGGGGATGTCGTTATTCTATTGCAACCCCGGCTACCACCCTCACATCCCCGCAGACTTTCTGCGACCGTTGTCATTGCGCCTAGACACACGTTGTCTTGCACTTCACGCCTTAATCGCACACGTGGCGGTGATTATAAAGCATGCACACGAGAGTCTAGTCGTCTACCACACTCACATGGCCGCACAAACGAACTGATCACGAACGAATCAGTCATTTAAAGTTGGTGACGATGTGCTCGTTGGCGCATTCCACTTGCATGTGTATCTTTGTAACGGAGAACGGGGGAATTAAACTCCCGATCAATCTCATTAAATTCAAAAAAATCCCGTTGAATTCGCGTTAAACACGAAAATGGGCCGCTCCCGCGCTTTTCGAAAAAACGGAATTGATGCCCCGGGTCCAGAACACGTGGTCTTATGAAAAAAAAAAAAAAAAAAAAAAAA